TTCTATCTCGGTGAATTTCGATTCCTAGAACCAATGACGCTTCACCAAGATCATTCACATTGAAACTTGAGGATAAGAACTTCTTCTCCAATGGCAGATTAACATCACTACTAGTGAGTATGATGTCATCTATACACAGGATGTGGAAAATGAATTTTCCATTCTTGAACTTTGCATAAAAAGCTATTATCCTTCTCATTCTCTTTAAACCCAAACTTTCTTATTGTTTCATCAACTTCAAATACTACTGTCTAGAGGCTTGTTTTAACCCATAAATGGATTTCTGCAGGTGGCATCCCATACGTTCTTTTGCTTTCACGATTAAACCTTTGGGTTGTGCCATGCAAATGTTTTTATACAAATTCTCGTTAAGGAATGTCGTCTTTACATCCATCTAATGTAACTCTAAATCGTAATGTGCCAATAACACTATTTTGATTCTAAAAGAATTCTTGCATGAGACTGGAGAGAAAACTCTCATTGTAATCTATTCATTCTCTTTGCGTAAAGCATTTTGCTATAAGCCGTGCTTTATATCTTTCTACATTCCCTTTGGAATCATATTTTGTCTTGTAGACCCATTTATAGCCTACTGTTTTGTCTCCATTAGGAATTTCTTCTAAGTCCCAAACATCGTTGGTATTCATCGAATTTATTTCAACTTCCATAGTTTCTTGCCATTTAAATGAGTAAACGCTTCTCATGGCTTCTTCAAATGAGGTGGGATCACCCTCCATTTGAATTTCTTCACTAACATAGACTTCATAGTCATCAGAAAAAACTGGTTTACTAATTCTTTAAGACCTTCTGGGGCCTCAGCTACTGGTACTTTCATATGGGGCTGTCGTTGCTCTTCTTTGCCAAGAGGCAATTGATCCTATAGGCTCCTGTATTACAAGATTTTTGTTTGCATTATTCATCTTCTTCGAAAGAGCCAACAACAGGCGTTGTATAAGTTATACAACATCAACAGGTATTGAGAAACTTGTTACTCCTGAGTCACTAGAGTGGGCATGCAGTCCCTCTTCTCTTCAAGTCTTAGGTCTCTACGTACTTCTACATACCATGCTCCCCTAGATCTTCTTATCTTTTCTAAAGATGGTATATCTTCAAATATCTTATTTTTGGTTTAATATGTTAAAACCTCATATGGCGCTTTAAGCACCACCTCAACATCTTTGAGGCTGACTACGCTATCTTCCTGTCAGAACATTAAAAGGTCTAGGAATTTAATTATTTCTCTACTCAGGGGTATCATTGTTGTGTCCGTTGTACTCCTCCAACGGTCATATTCATCTTAATTAATCTTTATCTAACTCTTAATGAAGAGTATCTTTCTTAATTGATCTTTATCTCACTCTTAATAAAGAGTATTTTTCTTAATTGATCTTAATATTCTTCCCCTCGAAATATAGCATGAACTTTACTGCCATAATTTCGAGAACTATTCAGAAAACCTGTAAACAAGGAGACACTTATAACTTGCTTCATTCACATGATTATGTCATGTAAACAAAGTTATTTCTTGATCTGTTTAGGAGTACACTTTCCTTATTTCACTTGAAGAACTCAACAAGGTCTTTCATTAGTAATACTTTTGCAAGTCATGCTTGCATCTTTTCTTATCTTTTGGTTAGTATTGACCATGACGATACATTTCTATTGTGCCACGGTCAATACTAGGACAACATAAGAGCTACCCAAACTTCTCTCGCTATGCGGGATACAAAAACATATGAGTCATCACAAAACTTCTCCTGCCATGCAGGATGGACTAGCATAAGTACTATGCCAAACTTCTCCCATACAGGATAAATCAATATACAAACATGCATGCTTAATTCAACGTTGGTCAAATTAGAGATGCATGTTACTTATTGCAACTCTTATCATAAAAACATTCACTTATACTTTATTTTTCAATTAAATCTTCCTATTGGTTTCAATTTAATCAAAAAATTAATAAACTAACAAAAAACAGTCCTGAATTGGCTTCACTCAAGCCTTTTTATTCACATAGCCCAGCATTACAGCCCGTTGACATGCAGCCGAGTGATTTCATCGGTTAAATAAACAAGGTGCTTCTGCATCAATTCTACAGCACCGTTGGACAGAAAATAGAATTAATGCATAAAACTCATAAATCAACTTGAAATATATATAACTACTATTCAAAATTAAATTCTCCTATTGGTTCAAAATTAATTAGAAAATAATTAACATCATTGCAGCGGAAACTTGATAATAAAATACATTCTTTTAGTTCAGGAGCATTTCTTCGTCCTTATCTACTCTCTGAAAAATTGACCACGTTGGTATAAAATTTATCAGAGATTTAAACTTCAAACTTAAATTCATTATAATATTTTTATCATCAACGTTGGTCAGAAAACAACAATACCATAATCTAACATAAACAAATTGGATTACTCCTCTAATTTAAAATTTTCCATTGGTTCGAATTTAATTAGAGGATAAACATAATCATAATTTACTAAATGTAACTGCTCTTCGAATTAAATTCTCCTGTTGGTTCGAATTTAATTGGAAGATAATCAATATTAAACTTTGCAGTGGAAACATGAAAAATATAATTTATCTACTTTTCAGAAGGATTTCACTGTACTCATCTACTGTCTGAAAAAATTATCCCGTTGGTTCAAATTTTGACAGAGATTTAACATCAAAACTTGATAAAATTCATCAAAATTACTTCTGAAAAACAATAAAACTGAAAACTATTTACTCTGTTCATTTTGGCCCAACCGAGAACTTTCGGCCCGTGGCCCATCTCGCCAGCACGCGCACTCGCAGCCCAGCGCGTGAAAGCACGACCCAGCGGCCTGCTTCACCCGGTGCACGTGCCCGCTCCCCCGCGCCTAGGCCGCAACCTGGGCCAGGGCCGGGAATTTGCTGCCCTGCCTAGGCCAAATCTGGCCCATCCGTCGTTAGCCATTGGATCCGATCCAACGGTCGTCTGCGCGTCTCGCGAGATCAAAACTCCGCACGGCGGCCATGAACCCTAACCCTAACTCATTTGAGTTCGCTCTCTTCTCTCTCTTCGCCACGACAGCCAGCTCTCTCTCCCTTCTCTCTCTAGAACCTCGGTGGTCGGAGATGGTGGCGCCGTCACGAGGCCCCTCGCCGGTGAGCGTGCTCGCCCGAGGTGGAACGTGCCGCAGTCGAGCGGCCTTGCGCCATGGCCCTTGACCCGACGCGGCTCTGCTTCCCGAAACCCTAACCATTTCTTCCTCCGCCTCCTCTCTCTTCACCACACACGCAGCCAAGCAAAAGAAGAAGAGCAGCGGTAGCGGCGCCGCCGTCGGTCCCCTTGCCGGTGTGAGCGCTCTCCCAAGGCTGAGTGTGCCGCCGTCGAGCGGTCTGATCGATGGTGCCCTTGCTCGTACCATCGTACCCTAGCTTTCCCTCTGTTCGCCACATATCATAGCCATCGTACCCAAGGTCAACGCAGGAGGTGGCGGCGCCGCCGTGGCGCCCTTCGCCGGTGCACGCGTGCGGCTGGAGCCGCGCGCGGCGCCGTCGAGCGGCACCACAGTGGTGCTCTTTGCGCCCTGCGCTCTTGTACGTGACGCCGCAGAGTGCCAGCTAGCCGGCAGCTCTCTTCCAGCGCGCGCAGTCTTCCCGCACGACGCGGTACCACCGGCGGTGAGGAAGATCCCGGGTAGGTACCTCCCCTCACCGACCTGTTTGTTAGGGTTAGAGTTAGGGTTAGGGTTGGGGTTTCTGATCCGATTTGGATCACTTCTTTCTTGATTTCTTTTCTGTTTTCTACCCCAAACTAGATATACCCACTAGCAACCTTGGCTCCTGTATCATTGATAGAACTAAAAATACTTATAGACGTAGATCAGTGGGTAATACTTAGCTTAGATGAGAGGACTTGCTGATATATACCTCGCCTCGAGTCTCCAGTCGCACCCATGGCGCCAACAACGAAATAGCAGTAGTGCAGACCCGGTCTGGTGGCGACGGCGAAGGCGATGGTACTTCCCGTCACTCACAGCACGCCCTTCTAGATCGGACTAGGGCTTGGAATCACGGTAGGGCTGGTGGCTGCGGTGAACCTCGTGCCTCGAGCCCCTGCCTCCACCTCCTATTTATTGCGCTGCGCGACGGGGGCTCATCAGCTAGAAGAACATCTGGGCGCCCCCGACCAGGGCGCAAATCAAGGACACAATTAACCGTTGGGCCAATTTGGTAGAGATTAACCTAGCAGCCTCCTCTGGCAGCGGCCGCGCACGCCTCCTTCGTGCTCCGGGCGAGCTCTCTGGACCCGAAGGTGGAGCCTTTCATCACCTCCCCGGGCGGGTACGCGGAGAGACTTCACTTCACCGACTCGGAGGCTTCGTTCGGCGACTCTGACGCGCCGCCCTCGTCGGGCCGTGGCAAGGCGGCCGTGCTACCGCGGCAGCAGCATCGTCACCACCGCCGTCATGCTCGTCACGGGAGTTTCATGCGGGACGCACGTCGGACTCTGTCCCCTGTGTCGACGGGCCGTCTTGCGTCCGTGGTTGTTCATCCACCACGCATGTCGGTGGAGCCGGACAGCGAGGGCTTTAGGGCCGTGCAGAGTCGCAGGCGTTGGCGGCGCGTCGTGGTACAGCGACGTCCGGTGCCAGCCATCAATTGTCTCGCAGGTAACCACGTCAAAGCTGAGTGCATGTTCCCTTCCAAGTGCTTCAACTGCATGGATGAGGGGCATCAGGAGCGTGGTTGCCCCCTCCTCGGTCACGGCGGGGGGAAGCGGGGCTGTTCTCCTGGTCGTGGTTCCGGTCGTCGCGGGGGCCCTCGTCGGTGCCACTCCCGCCCCAGCCGTGGGTCACCGGCGGACACCGTCTTGGCGCGCTCGGCTTCTACGGGCTGGTCGCCATCTGTGCCGCCTATTTGCGAGCCTCCAACTCCGGAGCCTCATGGTGCGGCGTCGGAGCAGCTGGGCGACGTCGCGGGTGACGGCGTCGTGGGCACCCACTGTCCTGTCGATGACGCGCCTGAGCAGCCGGGCGTGGGGAGCGAGCACCTGCCTGCTGCCGAGGATGCGCCTGCCGGCAATGGTGAGCCCGCGGCGAGCGCCGGGCCGCTGGTCCCGGTGTGGGCCTCAGCCTGGGCCTTGGGGCCGCGCCGGGCGCTGTGGGGAGGCGGGATGCTCCCACGCGCCGAACCGTCAGAGGGGATATCCCCGCTCGCTGCTACGGCGGGTGGAGGAACCACCGGCGTCGCCTAGGACGAGGGCCAAGACGCCTCTGCTACAGCTGGTCGTCGTCCCGCGCACTCCGGCCCTGCAGGCGGTGGAGGACGAGCTGTCGCTTGCGCTGGTGGCCCTGGTCCTCGGCACAAGGCCGGCGGTGACTCCGGCCGCCATGCTCCATTACCTCCACGAGCACTACGGCATTACTGAAGAGCGCGTGACCGTTCGGCGAACCAGGCCTGACGACTTCCTGGTGCGCTTCAGTCGCCAGGCGGACCTTGAGCTCGTCCTGGACAACCAGAGGCCGGAGGGTGCACCATTCGCACTATGTTGGCGTCGGTGGACCCGCTTGATCATGGGCTCGGCCGGGCCGTTCCGCTATCGCGTCCTTGTCGGCATGAAAGGAATCTCGTCGCACGCGCTCTCGTCTGAGGTTGCGCAGAACATCATTGGTTCGGCGGGTGCGAAGGTGGAGATCGCGAACCCGGAGGCCCTGGCGGATCCGGACGATGAGCGCGAGTTGTTCGTGGCATGCTGGTGCGCCCACCCCGACCGGGTCCCAGACGAGATCATCATGGCGGTGCCGGAGCCGGAGGAGGAGCACGACGGCGAGCCTCCGCTCTCCCTCAGGCCGGACGAGATCATCCACGACGAAGTTCCAGCGCTAAGGTATCTGGTCCGTGTAAGAGATGTAAGAGTGGGAAATTGGGGAGAATGCTCAAGTTCCATTCATCACCGTATGCTGTTACATATAGAGGTGCCGAAGCACTGGAGGCCGATCCAGAGATCGTGGTCATCCCTCACGCCTACATGCTAGGAGTCGTGTACAGAAGAATAGGAATTACAGTTAGGAGCCGGTGGCTCAGGAACTAACTAGCCTATCTACCATGCGCCTGAAGAATAGGTGACTGTGGCCTTCTCAATTTTGACATGAAGTTCCTGAAGAAGATTGTGGAGCCAGCAACATTCAGCAGCAGCATCGGCGACTGCTCTATATTCTGCTTCAGCACTTGATCTGGACACAGTTGTCTGTCGCTTGGACGGCCAGGAAACTAGTGAATCACCCAGGAACACACGATAGCCTGACGTTGATCACCGCGTGTCCGGGCATCCAGCCCAGTCCGCGTCGGAGTAGGCCTTGAGCTCAGTGGAGGAGGATGCCGAGATGATGACGCCGTGGTCAATGGTGCCCCGGAGATAATGCAGAATCCTTTTGACAAGGTTCCAGTGGGCATCAGTTGGCGAATGCATATGTAGACATGCTTGATTTACCGCATATGCAATGTCAGGTCTCGTGAGTGTCAAATACTGGAGAGCTCCTGTGATGCTGCGGTAGAATGTACCATCGGTTGCCGGCTCACCGTCGTGCATCGACAGTTTGGACTTGGTGTCGACGGGTGTTGAGGCCAGTTTGCAGTTGGCCATGCCCGCGCGCTCCAGAATGTCCTCCATGTACTGTGCCTGTGATAGAAAGAAGCCACGGTCATCACGGCGAACCTGAACACCAAGGAAGAACCGCAGAGCACCGAGGTCCTTGATGGCGAAGGCGCTGCACAGCTGGTCAACGACATGTTGCAGCAGCATTGTGGAAGACGCGGTGAGGATGATGTCGTCGACGTAGACAAGGACATAGGCAATGTCCACACCCCGCTGGTAGATGAAGAGGGACGAGTTGGCGCCCGCTGCAATGAAGCCAATGGAGCGAAGATGTGTACCGAGGCTCTAGAACCACGCACACGGCACCTGTTTCAAGCCGTAAAGCGACTTGATCAGCAGGCACACGTGATCTGGGTGAGTGTTGTTGACGAAACCTGCAGGCTGGTGGCAATAGACACGCTCCGCCAGATCGCCATGGAGATATGCATTCTTGACGTCGAGCTGGTGCACTGGCCACCGACGTGACGTAGCCAGATGGAGAATCGTGCGGATGGTTGCCGGTTTGACCACCGGGGAGAATGTCTGGTTGAAGTTGACGCCAGCATGCTGGAAGAAACCCCGCACAACCCATCAGGCTTTACGGAGTTCCAGCGATCCGTCTAGTTGCAATTTGTTCTTGAAAATCCACTTGCCGGTGATCACGTTGGCATGTTGTGGCCGCGGCACTAGAGTCCACGTTCCATTGGACTGCAGGGCGTCGAACTCCTCCTGCATTGCCATTCGCCAGTCGAGATTGCGGAGAGCAGCACGAACGGCGGTTTGGCGGAGATGGCGGTGAAGCAGTGGTGGCGATGTTCGCGTACTTCGGATTCGGCAGGTGAATGCCATCGCGCGCACGCGTCACCATGGGGTGGCGCGCCACCGCTGGTGTGTTTGGAGAAGAAGTGCTTGACGTCGTGGCAGCAGCAGGTGCGGTCGATGTCGGGGTAGCGGTAGGCGGGGCCGACGTTGTGGTCGTGGGCGTAGGTGACTCCGGTGTCAGAGCAGCCGGTGTGGAAGAGCCCAGCACTGCTGGAGCAGCCGGTGTGGAAGGGGCCGGCACTGCTGTTGCCGGAGTCGTGTTGCGCTGGGGAGCCCGTGGAGTGCGCTGTCGACGTGCAGACTGCACCGACAAGAATTCGGTGTGGCACGGTGGGCAATTTGGATGTTCCAGCGTCTGAGTCGTCACAACCTGCGCAAAAGGGAAGTTGTGCTCGTCGAAGTAGACGCGCCGTGAAATAATGACACGCTTGCTCTCGGGATCATAGCACTTGTATCCGCGCTGATCTGCTAGATATCCCAGAAAAACGCATCGGACAGAGCGGGGAGCAAGCTTGTGTGAAGCAGTGGCAGCAGTGTTTGGGTAACACAGGCAGCCAAAAACCCGCAGGTGTGCGTAGTCTGGCGGCATTCCAAACAGCAGTGCAAACGGTGTGGAGTTGCCACGGGGACGGCACGGTCGCCGATTGAGAAGATAGGAGGACGTGAGAAGTGCATCAGGCCAAAAGGAGGAGGGAAGAGAAGCCTGAAAGAGAAGTGCTCGAGTGCCATCATTGAGCGTGCGAAGAACACGTTCAGCACGCCCATTTTGCTGGGACGTGTATGGGCATGTCAGGCGAAGAGCAATGCCATTAGCAGCAAAGAACGCGTGAGAAGCTGAATTATCGAACTCCTTGCCATTGTCAGTATGGAAACACATGATCTTTAATTGAAACTGAGTCTGAACAAAAGCATGAAAAGCAATGAGAGTAGGCAGAACATCTGATTTATTTCTGAGAGGAAAGGTCCATACAAAATGGGAATAATCATCAAGAACAGCGAGATAGTATTTGAAGCCTGAATTGCTCACAACCGGTGAGGTCCAGACATCACCATGGATGGACCCACAGGGTATGCTGGGTGGGCCACTGCATACCCTAGGGTCCATGTGTAAGTGAACCAGAATATAAATTTTTATGTAAGAAAAAAAGAAAAAAGCTTACTACCAGGTAGACACGCCCGAGTACCCGACGCCTCCCAGCCGTTCGGCCTCTGTGTGGGCACACGAACTCGCGCATACGGTGCTCGGCGCAGTTACTCCACTCCACCTGGCTCGAAACCCCACCGGTCCCACGCATTGGCTCACACCCACCGCCTGCAACCATCCCGCTGGATCGTCGCAACTCGCAAGCGGCAAAGTCGAATCAGCGTGGTCACGCCGACGCCATCACGGAACGACGCCACGCACCCACCGCCCACTCGGCCACGACGGTCGCCGACTTGCTAGACTCGGAGGCGCGGCCATGGCGAAGCCCGACGCCGGAGGGCCTGCAACGTTATCGTCTCGGCCGGCTACCGCTCGGCGAGATACTGAGGCGCACAGCGGCAGACAGGTTTAAGATTAATCTTCTATTCTTCTTCTTACTTGTGTACTTAAATAGTTTTAATTATTTATGTATGACTCATTTTTTTCCAGTTCGTGAGTTCATTCATCCGCATCACTGCATCAGATCAATAATTAGCATCTGGTCATTAGTCCATCATATCGTGTGATTTGTGAGTTTTCTAACCGAAAGTTCCAAACAAATCGATTCTATATTATGAATTATTTTTGTTTCATTTGAACAATTTATATCGAGATTTATCGTCGTTTGTAGCTTAATCTTTTAATTTAAGGCTCATCATATTATTTAATGTAGTTGGTTTTACTGAATTAGAATATAGTTTTACCGAATTGCATAAGAAAAAAAAATTATAGCATATCCTGTGATAAAATCCTAGGTCCGCCACTGGACATCACAGTGCAATAGCTGAAAAGGAACACTAGATACATTATTGGACTCTCTAAACGGCAGTCGTACATGCTTGCCTAGACGACAGGCATGGCATGTATGGTCGCTGGACTTGGAACAGGAAAAACCAACACGGCGAGAAAGTTGCTGAAGCGTGGCATGGCCAGGGTGACCGAGCCGGGCGTGCCAAAGCGGTGTGTCTGCAGAAGCGAGGAGCGCCTGCGATGATGAAGGAGCGCTAGGCTAAGTACGCAGAGGGTAGAGCTCGCCCGAAGAATCACATCGGAGGATAGCCATCCTGGTTTGAAGATCCTTAATGTTGAAACCCCAAGGATCAAATTCAACAGAGACAGAGTTATCACGAGTTAGTGCACGAACAGAAATCAAGTTCTTTACTAACTGAGGAGCAATCAGGATGTTGTGCAATTGTAAAGGAGAGGAATTTGTAGGAATGATGGCGCGTCCAGTGCGCTGGGCAGAGAGAGTGTGCCCATTACCGACAACAATCTGGTGGGAAACAGTAGAGGCAGAGTGAGTGGCAAGAATACCAGGATTGGCGGCCATGTGTGACGTCGCGCCGGTGTCCAGGAGTCACCTCCACCGCCTGCAGAGTTGTGGAGGGACAGGTTGTTGAGTACCGAGTAGAGTCCCGGTGGAATCGAGGACGCATCCTGTGGAGGCGGGGGCGCAGCAAGGGCGGCTAGCGCCTGAGGCGATTGAACTCCGGGATGAGAGCCGAGAACGCTGGGGCGCCGTGTGTGCAGCGGCCACGCCTGAACGACCCCTTGCCAAGGGTTGTAGGAGGTCGCCCACTGCGGTCTAGCAGGAGGCGGCGCGAGATTGGCGCCGGTCGAGGAAGTATTGCTGCCGGATGTAGGTGAACGGCCACGGTTGTTGTCGAACGCCTTGCGCTTCTTGCGGCGGTCACCACTGCCGCCACCAGAGGCAGGCGGGAGGGGAGGTGGATCAAGAAGAAAGCTGATACCATGTAAGAGATATAAGAGTGGGAAATTGGGGAGAATGCTCAAGTTCCATTCATCACCATATGCTGTTACATGTAGAGGTGCCGAAGCACTGGAGGCCGATCCAGAGATCGTGGTCATCCCTCACGCCTACATGCTAGGAGTCGTGTACAAGAATAGGAATTACAGTTAGGAGCCGGTGGCTCAGGAACTAACTAGCCTATCTATCGTGCGCCTGAAGACCAGGTCGCTGACAGTCCGCATCCGGATCGTGGAGTTTCAGGACTGGCACACGCCGCCGCCGTCCTCCAACGACGAGCTCTACGGCGCCGGCGATGACGAGGACAGTGACGATAGTAACTACTACGGCTTTCATCCGGGCTTCGGCGGCGGCGGCGGCGGTGGTTCGCGGCCGCGGACAACCAGGTTCGCTGGGCCGAACGAGCCGCGCCTCGGGAGGGGTTCCGGGCCAGGCTTCCCGCCGCAGGAAACGAGGCAGGTTGTTCGTGTTGGAGCGTTCACTTGCCCTGTCGTGTCGACGCGCGGTGCCATGCCCTGCTGCGGGGAAAGCAGCGCGTTTCGCGCCACGCCTGGGACGATTGTCGAGCAGCACATGGAGGCAGTCTTTGACTTCGAACACTTGTCTCGGGGCTCACCCTCTTCTGTCA